CAGAGGGCGAGCACCTAACTGCTTGCGCCACTGGGCCGGCCCCTATTGTTTTCAATTATTCTGTTTCATCTAAAACATTGTGCCCTTTTTGTTTTCAAGGGTATTCTGGCTATCACACAAGGAACACATAAATTGTTTTCTCTACTTTTTAAGTTCATTCAGGGAATAGGTGGGCCAATAGCCTCTCTCTACTCTGACAAGCTATAAAGCAAAATACACATAAATTCTGGCTTGCTGCAGGCAGTGAGGAAAGGAATATTTTGGTTACAAATCTCAAATCCTGACTCTCAGTCTAAAAATGAATTTACTCAATAGAGAAAATGATAATTTATACTGTATTAATGGTATATATTAAATCACTGTATCAATGATACAGTATATTCTTTTTATACCATTTCTGGTTGATTTATGGTCAATATCCCTTATTAATTTTTCATTTTATGATTTTGCCTGGCTTGCACTAGGTTCCCAATAAAAATATGTTGAAAAATGAATGAATAAATAAATTAATAAGCTCTTTACAAGGAAAACCAAAAAAAAGGACCTAAAAATTTAATAACTCTCCAAAAGTAAACAAGAGATATATTCCAGAAGGATTCACTTGGCCACCAAAGCTAACTAAAGAAACAAATTAGTCTTTACATTACCACTACAACATTCTTTTTCAACAAAGTGCTTTCTCCTTTTCCATTTTGCGCTTTTCCCTGAAATCTCTGACAGGTTACTCTTTGTTTCCTTAGACTCCTTATGCATAAGAGACTTCTACAACAATTCCTCTGTTCATTTTTCTAGAAACACCAAGCAAATATCAAAGAGATCAAAATCAAGTTCACTATCATGAGATCATAAAAAGGCCATCACCAGATACACAGATTAGGCTCTTGCAAATTAGTATTCCTTTTATGACCTGTACTCAAAAACAATCCCATGAATTCACTGTTTTCTTTCAATGTTTTTTCTTTGTATGCAGCTGCTCTCAGAACTCATTTCAAAATATCAAATTTCACATTCACCAAAACAGCAATTTCAAGCCATCCTACATTGATTAAATCAAAATATTCTCTTTACTGGTGCTTTTACTGAATGTTTTCTTCCACACTGTTCCTCTACAATCTAAGTTAAAAGTACTAAAACAAATCATGTTAATTCAAATGTTGAGGATGAAGGAACCTGCTCACCTAATCCTTTTTTTCTCTTATTTTTAATATGTTTACAATTTATTTCATTCACTTCAAGTGTCTGTGATAAATTCAAAGTTACTGAATTAGAACTAATTGCATCAAACTCAAATCATTTATATTCTTTTCCTATTTATTTAAACATTGATACCAAAAATTTTAAAATTATTTTACTTATCAAGTCAAAACTAATATTATTTGATGTATCACCAATCATTTAGTTTATGTTTCGTAAACAACATAAAGCACCAGCCTATATAAACCCACCAGGTTCTCTCCATAGAGTTTTCACAAAAGTGAAAAATCTAATTAAAAAACTAAAGAAAACTATGGATTTAATAAACAGATTAACTTACTGAAAAAATCTTTAAAGATGTTTAACCAATCCATTTTGAGCAAAAATCCCGTGTTCTCTTTTGTCAGTTTAACACAGCTCAGGATAATTGTCAGTGAGCTTCCTGGTCTGTTCTGCTACACTCAAACTCCCCACACCCAATCCACGTGACTTGGCCCACATCCAGGCAATAGAAAGATTTTTCTGAGGCTTCTCTCTTTCCAAAGTGTTTTTTCCCCCTGAACTATAACAGAACCTGTAAAACAAGTATATCATGATGGCCCCAAATGTGACCTATTATTCAGACATATTTTTTGGAAGAAACTTTAAAGCACATAAATATTTTCAATAGTTGAAAATATATTGGCCGGCCCCGTGGCTTAGCGGTTAAGTGCGTGCGCTTCGCTGCCGGCGGCCCGGGTTCGGATCCCGGGTGCGCACCGAGGCACCACTCCTCCAGCCATGCTGAGGCCGCGTCCCACATACAGCAACCAGAAGGATGTGCAGCTATGATATACAACTATCTACTGGGGCTTTGGGGGAAAAATAAATAAATAAAACCTTTAAAAAAAAAAAAAAAAAGAAAGAAAATATATTAACGTATTCATTCTTTCCTCTGTTTTCTCCCTTAACTTTCAAACAATGTCGCCACCAGCAAAATCATTGTGAAACAAATCCATTAATTCTATGAGACATTTAAGTCACCAAAAAGGGCTTCAGAAATTCTGAGAAAGGAGAGAAGGCTGTCTGATGCAAAAGGTGTATTTACATCATTATACAGGCTAACTACAGATCACTAACTTAAAAGAGAAAGTTTCCAATGATGGTGTTCAGGGCAGGCCGCCCCAAGATGCAACACTTAGGTATGCAGATTATTTCGCGCTGAAGACAATAAAGGCTCAGAAGACTCAGGAAGAACATTTGAGTTTCCCCTCCCAAACTGTCTACAGAATTTAACAAAGAAGACCTGTTCCAGGAAGGAGCCGCTACCATATGATGGCTGTAGTATAATGTAAAATAAAATGCTGCAATAAGAAAGGGACCAAGCCCACCTTATCAAAAATTCTCTCTCCCTGGCCACATTCTCTAGGTGGCCCTGTAAAGAGGTGTCAGACAAACATTTGCATTTTCATCTCCATGTGAATTGTTTTCTTCTCCTCTAAAATCCCAAACCACTACTCCCACAACACCTTTCTCACCTTTAGCTAAAATACTTCAGCGAGCAGCTTAGTCAGAATGACAAGTTGCTGCTCAGTTCTCTTTCTGAGTTTCTCCCATGTATACATGTTATTAAACTTTGATTTTCTCCTGCTAACCTGCCTTTTTAATTATTTGGCCAGCCATAAGAACCTTAAGGGAAAGGGCAGAGGGGGATTCTCCCTCTTCCCCAACATCAAGTACCCTGGAATACAGGCAGCAATAATTGTAATATGGTAATAAAGTTAACAGAGATATCCTAGGACTTAAATAAAGTCTTGCTAAAATTGTCTCAATAATATCAGAAAATAGTATGGAAGACTTCCCAGGAGTATCAACAAATAATAAAAATTGCATCTAAACTGGGATTTTTATATGCAATAATATCTAAAACTGGAATATTTTTCCTCTTTGCTCTATATTAGTTTTTTCACTATCTTTTGTTAATCACTGTCACATTTGCTCTAGTCTGAGGATACCAGTATCCTTTTAAAAAAGAACAAAAAATTCTCTTTGAGTGTGGCCCTATTCCTTTCTGTGCCTTCATCACTATGAGGCATACTTTCTCGATAGAAGTTACCCTAATTTTCTCTAATCAACATGCTTTAAATAAATGTCCAGTATTTACAAAATCAGAAGTATTCCTGGATCTAACTCTGGTCTCTTCAGTTATTGAAGGAAAATCTCATTCTGATTTGTCTTTCATTTAAAAACCAATATTAAAAACTAATAATAATGATCCTATTTGCAAAACCTTGAAATCTTATAAAAAGATAACTTCAGATATAGCAGTTACACGTCATGGTGAAAATTCAAACTAATAACTCTATTTACTAAATTACACTTAGAATACTGGAAATGTTTTTAGCTCAGAAACCGATATTCCAATACATTGTATCTTACTTTTAACCGTACTATATTTTAGTTTTTGCTGTTTTACAATGGTTAACAACATAAAAGATTTGTCTTCTACTGCTGATAATTGAAAGAACATTTTAGTCTAGAATAACAATAATGTTGAATAGGAAACAAAAACTAACATAAAGCAGTTAGTCAACAGTATTTCATATTTGTCAATCATGCTACATTATTCCCAAACTATCTCTACAAGGAGAAATCTTACTTTCTCTTCTACATACATATAAAGAACTATTAAGTAACAGCACACTTGCCTGAATACCAAAAATGAAATTTCGTCCCTCCCAATTCCTTCCTGCCAGCCAAGGAGAGCTTAATTAAAAGGAAAAAAAAAAAAAAGAGAGAGAGAGAGAGGCCAGTCCTCGTCTGTGCACATTTCCTTCTTATCAGCTCAGCCAAGCCCAGTCCAAGGCAGGTTCCACTATCTCTGGCCCTGACAGAGGGCCAGTAAAAACAAACTCTACAGTTAGAAGAAGAGGAAAAAGAGAAACAAAACAGGAAAGAGATCAGCTTTGTAGATGCTAATCTACAGTAATGATCCACAATATAAACCTCTTTTTTCAAATATAAGAATAAAATGATGGGGCCGGCCCCGTGGCTTAGCGGTTAAGTGCGCATGCTCCGCTGCTGGTGGCCCGGGTTCAGATCCCGGGCGCACACCGACCCACCGCTTGCCACGCCATGCTGAAGCGGCGTCCCACATACAGCAACTAGAAGGATGTGCAGCTATGACATGCAACTATCTACTGGGGCTTTGGGGAAAAGAAAAAAGGAGGAGGACTGGCAATAGATGTTAGCTCAGGGCCGGTCTTCCTCACCAAAAAGAGGAGGATTGGCATGGATGTTAGCTCAGGGCTGATCTTCCTCACAAAAAAAAAAAAAAAGAATAAAATGATGGCTTGTTTTTAAAAGCTAAGTTCAAAATGCGAGCCATGAGTTGTTAAAATACAGCAATATGCCATGTAAAATAAGTTGCCTTAATGCCAAGGAGGGAATTCTGCATCTCACTCAGTCACCTCTGTCTCAATTAGACGCAGAATTTGCCTCAACTCCAACAGGCACTCGTGGTTCAAGGAGCCCCTGATAAAAGATCTGCTCATTTCTGCTCATTAGCACCACTCTGGCTTGACCCTTGAACTGGCCAGATCCACCAGCTAGATTTACAGAAACTGCAACTAACACTTATGACCGTCACTGGTCACCTGACTTGAACACCTGCTATGAGCCAAACTTACCTTGCCTAGCTGAAATTTCAGTCCTGGCCTTTTCTAGACAATTCTGCCAAACGCTGCCAAAATGGTGTACAAAGAACCAAGCTCTGGCATCCATTTAAAAGAAAGTATTGTTGTTGTTTTACTACAAAAATAACTTACCTAAGGTATCCTTTAGGTTTTTTACAATAGATGCTTTCCGAGCACTGTTTTTTCTTTCCACATAGTTAGAAGGCACAAAGCCTGTTTTATTCATGGAATTTCGAACTCGCCACCAGGACTTAGAATCATCCAGAAGCCATAATTTCTCATTCTTCTTAATGTCCAGCTCTTGTTCTTGTTGGGCCGCGTAATCAAATTTGGCTACTACCACCGCTTCTTCTGCCATCTTTCAGCAGCTTCAGCACTGTAACCACATAGAAAATATGTCTTATAACCTTTAAATAGTACTAGTCTACCTTTCAAAAGAGACACACCTAAGAACCTAAGAGCACTGAAAGGTAGAAAGTAAAAATATGAAAAAAAAAAATACACTAGGCAAATACTAATCAAGACAAAACTGCTATAGCTATATTAATAACACACAAAAGGAGATTAATGCAAAACCGTCACTAGTGATAAAGAAGTTTGCCACAGAATGATAAAAAGTCTTATTCAATATATATAACAGCTAAACTTATATGTATCCATTAACACAGCTCCAACACAGATTGATAGAAATGCAAGGAAAAATGGACAAATCCACTGTCACAGAGGACAATTTTTAACATATCTATCACAGTAATAAATCAAGGAGACAAAAAAATGAGTAAGCTGAGAAAAGAAGTGACATCACAACCATTAAGTTTGAGCTAACAAATGTATACAAACATTACTTTCAAACAGAAGAATACAAACAGAATATATACAAAAATCGATCAAATGCTAAGCCATAAAGAAAGTCACAACAACTTTCACGTACTTGGTATTCTACAACCATATTCTCTGACAACCATAACAAAAAGATAGCTTTTTAAAAACCTCATGTTTGGAAACTTCTAAAAACTCATGAGGCAAAGAAGAAATAATAGAATTTTTTTTAAATGGAAGCAAAATAATAAAAAGACTATATAGCCAACCTTGCAGAATGCAGCAAAAGGAGTATATAAAGGGAGATTCTTAGTTGTAAATAGTTACATCAGAAAAATAAGAAAAGCTAAAAATAAATTAATGAATTGAGCACCTGTGTTAAGCAGTTAAAAAAGTAGAATATAAGGAAAAGTAGAAAAAGGACACAATAAAAATAAAAGCAGAATTTAATGAAACAGAGAACAAAGATATAGAAGAAAGTCTCAACAAAACAAAAAGGCAGAGGCTGGCCCAGTGGCGCAGCAGTTAAGTGTGCACGCTCCACTTTGGCGGCCTGGAGTTCGCAGATTCGGATCCCGGGTACACACTGACGCACCACTTGTCAAGCCATGCTGTGGTGGCGTCCCATATAAAAGAGGGGAAGATGGGCACGGATGTTAGCCCAGGGCCAGTCTTCCTCAGCAAAAAAGAGGAGAATTGGCATCAAATGTTAGCTCAGGGCTAGTCCTCCTCACAAAAAAAAGCAGTTCTGTCATGACTAACAAAATGGACACAGTTCTGGCAAGACTGATCAATGAAAAAAGGAAAAAGCACACCCAAACTCCAGAAATGAAAGGGAGTCATAATTATAGATGCTGCAGACATTCAAAAGACATGGAATATTATAAACAACTTTATCAATAAGTCTGAAAATGTACAAATTTACATAAAAATGAAAATAACAAAAGTAATAAATTGAATCAGGCATTAAGAAATCTTCCCATAATAAACACACCTGGGCCAGATGGTTTTACAGGCAAGTTCTATTAAAATTCAAGGAACAAATAACTCCAATTTATACAAACTCTTTTAAAACAAAGAAATGAAAATTACAAACCTAACTGACTCCTGAATCAAGATCAGCTTTCTGCTTTCTTCAGAGAGATTATTTTACATAAACACCTACCCCGGGTTTAGCGAACAAATATATTCAGCTTTTGATTTTTGATAATGAATAGCATTGTCTTTTCTCAACAATGAAGCAACTTCTTCAATGTTCTCAGGGAAATGCACTTTAATCTAGAATTCAACATCTAGTAGCATTCAAGTGTAGATACTTTTGTATCTACAGTGTAGATACTTTGGGGGGGGCACCGCAAGGCCTCAAAACTTACCACACATTCTTTTGAAAGAATGACTTAAGCATGTACAGCAGCAAAATAACTAATAATGCTAAAAAAAAGAGGATGATGTGGTATTCAAGAAGGAATAATAAACAGAGAGAAACCAGAAAAATTAATCTGTATTCTTGTAACTTTTCTCTGTTTGAAATTATCTCCAAATAAAAATTTATAACCAAGTCTAAATAATTAATGGTACATGATGTAAAAAATTACAACAATGAGTGATAGACTTTCTGAGACACTGGAAAGCAGAGAGATTTTTCTCAGGGATACTTGGGCACTGACTCTGATTCCTTCCCTGTAGGAACCCGCACTTCCCCATAATTAATCTATAAATTTAATGAAATTTAATCCTAGATCTCAATGGAATTTATTCTGAAACTTGACAAACTGATTTTAAAATTTATCTAGAAAAGTAAACATATAAAACTGACAATATTTTGGAAAAAATAAGAGTTGGTATAATAACACTGTAGGTTGTATACTCAGCATTCATTTTTCTCTTTTCCTAATAATATCCTGATTATCCTTCTAGTTGCCACCTCGCTATTATTTTAGCCATGCAACTTGGGGGACTGACTATAGCTTTCAACGCCCTCTCTGCAGAAGAATCACTTATGGAGTTTTAAAAAAAATACAAGAGTTTGGGCCCCTATTTCAGAGACTCTAGTCATTCTGGAGTGTCACTCAGGCATTAGTTTTGTTTTTTGTTTTTTTTTGTGAGGAAGATCAGCCCTGAGCTAACATCTGTGCTAATTCTCCTCTTTTTTTTGCTGAGGAAGACCAGCTCTGAGCTAACATCTATTACCAATCCTCCTTCTTTTTTTCTCCCCAAAGCCCCAGTAGGTAGTTGTATGTCATAGTTGCACATCCTTCTAGTTGCTGTATGCGGGACGTGGCCTCAGCATGGCCAGACAAGCAGTGCGTCAGTGCGCGCCCAGGATCCAAACCCGGGCCACCAGTAGCGGAGCGCGCACACTCAACCGCTAAGCCACGGGGCTGGCCCAGGCATTAGTATTTTTAAAAGCTACCAAAGTGATTCTAACATACAACTAGGATTGAGAACCCTTATCTAAGCCAATCATGACAATCTCTCCCTTGCTAGCTTTGTCCACTTTAACCCACTTAAGTCCAATGGGATGCAAAGGAAACTATGCTAGAAACTTCAGTGAAAAGCTGGCTGGTTCTTGACAAACATAGTAAAAAGACTGTCTCTGTATTCTGTCATGTACAGATGTGAGGCGTGCAACTATGGCAACCATTTTGTCACCAGCTAGAGAATGGACGAGGTCAGTCATTGACCAATACGTCATTACGTGGCGCATGACTGTATAGGCAAACACACCCTATCAGTATCAAAATGCACTAAAATGTTAAGGCAATTTAAAATAATATGATACTGGTGCAGAGTCAAATAGACTAGCAGAATATAGACAGATCTAAAAACAGATACACCTACATACAGGTGGCTTTAAAATCCCTTTTCTCTAACGTACTAGCTATGAGTTTTGGTTTTGGCTTTTTAAAGTAGATGGAGTACTTCAAACCACATAACACAAAATGGATTTTCGTGTATCTTTCCCCCCAATATTTACAGTGGTCTCACCCAGACCTACTTCAAAAGCAAGTAATTTTTTAAAGTGACCTCCTTTGATAAGTCTTTCCAAAGCAATCAACTTAGTTTTCACAAACACTGTCATTTAGCACTATTTTGGTTTGTTTATATAATATATAAAATTATAGTAAGAAGCACACCTGAAAGAAACAGTACAGCTAACTCCTGGTAAGCAGATTCAACTCAACTGATAAGAGTGGAAACATGTCAAGGCTATCAGGTTGTACTGTTTCATAACAGAAATGTAGGTGTTTAGTTAATCAGACAAGTCAGTTAACTTCTACTCCGTGTGTATAAACATGCAAATATATGAGAATTTCATATACAGCAGGGGTAGCATTTCAAATCATTGGAGAAGAATGAGTTATTCAATAACTGATACCAGGTCTACAGCTATCTATTTGGGAAAAAAATATTCAGTCCTACCTCACACTACATACAAAAGTAAATTAGACAGGGGCCAGCCCACTGGCACAGTGGTTAAGTTTGCATGCTCCGCTTCGGTGGCCCGGGGTTCACAGGTTCAGATCCCAGATGCAGACCTACATACTGCTTATCAAGCCATGCTGTGGTGGCATCCCATATACAAAAAGTAGAGGAAGACTGGCACAGATGTTAGCTCAGGGACCATCTTGCTCATGCAAAAGGAAGAAGATTGGCAACAGGTATTAGCTCAGGGCCAATCTTCTTCACACACACACACACACACAAAAGTAAATTACACAGAGGACTTTTACTTCCAGGAAGAGGGAGTATTACACTTTTCCCAATTCCTCCAGCTATGTACTACTAAAAACATGGTAATTTATACATAAAACAAACATTAGAAAACTTTGAAAGGTAAAGAGAAGAAGGCAGATCAGCTAGGACCTTAGGACTCAAGGAACAACATACTGGTGAATTCCCTAAGTTTTACTTTTGCCTGATATATCCCAGACTTGGAGATGAAGATTGGCAACCTAGATATACCAATGGGCACAGACAGAAAAACCCCAAAACAACAAAACCAAGTGCTCCCCAGACAATGGATCAAAAACGGAACAGCCTAACAAGACAGAAAACTTTTAGACAATAAACACTCTACTCCAGTCAAACACTACAGAAAAAAATGGCCCCACGCATACCCACAAAGACCAAGTAGGAAAGCCAGACTTCCTACCCTTGAGAGGCTATTAACAAGGCATCACAACATCTCTACCTGGTGGTTTAAGTAAAAGCCAATTAAGGAGCCAGGACTTCTACCCATCAGCCAGACAGAAAATCATCAAGGATATAAAAGAAATCAATAACACATTCAACCAACAGAATCTAACCAACATTTATTGAACAATCCACCAAACAACAGCAGAATACACATGCTTTTCAAGTGCCCATGGGACAAATACCAAGATAGACCATTTCCTGGGCCATAAAACAAACCTCAACAAATTTACAAGAACTGACACCATACAATGTATTCTTTGACTACAACAGAATCAAACTAGAAGTCACTAATAGAAAGATAACAGGAAAATTTCCAAATATTTGGAACATACTTCTAAATAACTCATGGGTTCATGT